TCTGGTTTTGCTGCACATAATTCTTTCAAATTCGCTCCATTTTATTGAAAACGGCTGCATTTCATGCTTTACGGCTGTATAATACGCCATGGTGGAAGCCACATCTTGATCCAATTGCCTGTTGATGGATATTTAGGCTGTTCCCATGTCCTTGCTAGTGTAAATAATGCTGCTGTGAACCCTGTGGAACACGTGGGCTTTTGGGCTGATGGTTTCATATTCTTTGGACAGATGCCCAAGAACTGCGGGTTGAATAGTATTTCCATTTCTAGTTTTTAAGGTAAATCCAGGTTGTTTTCTGACTCACAACTTGTTGCAGGACCAAAGGAAAAACACTTCACGGTGTGGCAGACGCCACCCATGTCCCGGCCTGTTTCCTCTCCAGCCTCATCTGGGTAACCTCGAGAGCTTAGGCAAATGTAGTCATGTGCTGTTCCTGTTCCCACAGCTCTTTCAAGCCCCTGTGCTTCTTCTCACAAGGTTTCCTGAGCTGAAATGTCCACCTGAATGTCGGCCTCTGCAAGAGTCCCCTCCGCCCTAGGATGGGGGCCTTGTGGGGAACACGTCCATCCTGTCGCTGGGTACAAGCTCCGAGAGAAACCTGGCACTTGGCACTGACTCAACATATTCCCTGGTGGGCTGCCCACTTCCTGAAGGCCAGGCCAGAGGCAGGCCCCATCCTGGGCAGCACACTGCGGTAGACCCAGCAGTGCAAGGGTGAGGAGAACACAGCTCCCGCCAGGTGAATGAGCGGCTGAGGAGTTATGTAATGAGCCTGGGTGCAGCGAGATCACAGCTGCGAGTACCAGGATGACTGAGACGTCAGCAGCCCCGGGGCCAGTGACTCTGAGGGGAAGGCAGCTGCTGAGGGTCAAGCGCTGGTAGTTTACGAAAGAAGACAGACCCTCTGGTGTTGGGGAGGGGGGGCAGGAAGCAGGAGAGAGGCCTCATGACACCGTGTGATAGGCTTGGTTTTCATCTCTGAGTCCAGAAGACAATTGTTCGAGGGCTCTGGGCTGCACCAATGGTGGAGCTGTCGGGTGGGAACTGTCCCGGCTGCTCGTGAACGCCAGGATGTGGCCCTGAAGCGTGAGGCTGCAGTGTGAGCACACGGCGTGTCATCCTTTAGCGCCAAGGAACTTGTGCTGGCCACAGAGCACGCTCAAGGGTTCTCACTGGAGGGGGGTCGTGTCTAAAGGACGGAGATGTGGCCGACACAGGGGTGTCTTCGAAGGAGGTAGCTGGCCAGCAGAGACGCTTGTCCTTCTTCCATGTCCACTTTGTCCACACGCGCTGCATTCCCATGGGGACTCCTAGCCAAGGGAACTAATTACCCCTGAGTCCAGGGGACTGTTCCTAGTTGTGACCTCTGCTTGGGATCCTCCTGAGGGGGGCTGTCTCTGAAGCTGTGGGACACTCACACGCTCTTTAGACGCTTCCTGCTGTCTGGGTTCCCTCGCACGGCCGGTCCTGGGCCTCACACCTGAACTCCTTCCCTTACTTTTCGCCGTCTGGAGCGGTCTGTTCACCACTTGTTCTCTCAGAGCAGATCTGCATACTTTCTGGCCCTGACTCTTCACCTGTATCCAGCTGGCCTCTGGCCATGAAATAGTTTCATAAATGTTAAGCCCTGAATCCCCCAAATATGTGAGTTCCTACTATGTGCCAGGCATTGCTCATACAGTGGCGATACAATGAAAAAAGTCTTTACTCAGCCCGAGACACTGCTGACAGAGGGAAGAAATCAGCAGTGAGAGGCAGGTGTGGGTAGTGCCAGGAAAGAAACAGGGGCTGCAGGGACAGAGAGGGTCAGCTTCGCCGAGGAGGAGGGAGAAGGCTCCTCAGAGGAGGTGATACCTGAACACGTACAGAAGGGTGAACAGGTGTGTGTGAGGTTGCTTTAGGCAGGACCAGCAGACATGAAGGCAAACAGGCTGGGCTGAGGCTGCATGGGGCTTCTGAAGGGTTTCAGTAGGACAAAAACACAGAGGTCCCCTTGGGGGCAGAACTGTGGGGTGCAGTGGAGAGAAGGAGGTGGTCAGGATTAGGTGGGGTAAGAGACTCTTGTTGAAATACAGGTACAATCTGAGATGGCGGCGGCCACAACTGAGGCAGCTGCATGGAGAGAGGGAAAGAGATTTATGTGAAAGAAGATGCTCTGGGACTTAACTGGGGGAGGGAGCAAGAGGGACATGGATGCCTGAGAGGGAAACATCTAAGACGAAGCCCAGACTTCCTGCCCTATGGGCAGGTAATGGTGCATTTCGTCAGGGTATCGTGTAAGAAGGAGAAACCCATTTAGCACAGAGATGGTGGGTTGCGAGTGCCTGTGGAACATTCTAGCAGAGACATCCAGCCGACAGCGGGGCGTGCGGGGCAGGAGCCCCAGGTGAGGAGGCCTCGTCTGTGCTCTAGCCTGCAGGCCGCGTTCAGAGGGGAGTGTGAACCGCAGGCTGGGTGGGTCAGCAGCTGCTGACACAGGGTGAGGAGTCTGTGGGCACCCCTGGGAGCCGGTGTGACTGAGGAGGGAACCGAGGAAGAGCTGTGCATCTCTCCCTCTGTGGTCTCTCCTCTCTCCCACCGCCCCATGCGCTGCCACACAATGGATGTTTCTGAGGTAACTCCTTTCATGACAGTAACCACTTCTCACAGCTTCCAGCGTCAAAACCCAGCTCTGTCGTCTGCGGCACGACTTCCCGTTTCTCCATCTCCCACCTCATTTCAGGCAGGCAGGCTCCCAGAGGGCTTTCCTTTCTGGGGCCTCCCATTCACAGCCAGCCTCCCTCCTCCGCCATCAGTGCTGCCCATCCTGGGGTCCTGGATACCTCTCCGCAGGCTGTCTGTCCACACTCATGGCCTCATCTCCGACCTCTTACTCCCCGGGCACTCCGGTGAAGACCCGTTGCTCTCAGACATTTATCTAGCTCAGCTACACCGGCTTGAGTTCCCTGGGGCCGAACAGACTCATGAAGGGAGAGGACGTGTCCCACTGCATCTGTGCCTGGAGCCCCGCTAGTCCTGGTCAGAGTAGCCACCACATGGCCGACACATGCCCAGAGCCCAGCCGAACGGGCAGCCAGGAGGGTGAGGATGTGTGTGAGGCCCAGCAGGGGTATTGGCAGGAGGGGTGCAGTCTGTCCTGCTGCTCATCCCCTGGCCGGCTGCTCCAGAACTGCACCACTGGGCTCTGCTCCACAACCTTCTAGAAAACAGGAGCCCAGCGGCATACGGAGGATGCTACAGTCCGCCCCTGGATTGGAAGCGCTCAACCGTTCTGCTGTTGGGGTGCTGGTAGCTCGCGGCCCCCCAAGGGAGACCTTCTGTGGGTGGCAAGCATCTCAGGAGGGTGGGTCACCCAAGGCCTGCTGTCTGCAACCACAGACAGGCTGGTGGAGCTGGAAAGCTTCAGCTTCTTGCCCTAATTTGGGATAATTTCAAAGGGCTCTCCCAATCCCACTCTCTCCCAAATCAGCAAGGCTCCTGAGGAGCACTGCTCAGCCTCCCTGTATCCTTCCCCACCCCTCCCTGAAAGGTGCCAATCACCCCAGAATGTCTGTTCTTCAACTCTATGCACAAAAGTCCACCTGGGAAGCCTCACTCCCAGGCATGAGAGCCGCCTCCCGGGCACGAGAGCCGCCTCCTGCTTTGCTCCCGGGCACGAGAGCCCCCTCCTCCCGCTGCCTCCAGAGGTGCCTCGCTCTGTCTCCGGCCCCCAGGTGGCTCTGGTGAGGTCAGGAACCCCAGTGGTCACCCACCGAGCCACCGTGTGAGTTGGAAACTTTCAATCCAGGTTACTTCTGTTTTTGCCTCGTAGCTCTGTTGATTCCACCTGGAGACCCTACGCTCACTGTGACTCAGCTTTCTGGACTCTGGTCATTATCAGTGTATATGTTTTTCATTTTTCTTTGTCTCCTTGGAGAATCTACTTCTTCCTGTGGCTAAACACGAGGTTAGTCTTGGATGCCACTGTCCCGCGATGGAGTCACCGGGCGCCTCGCTTTCAGCTCTCCACCCTCAGGGGCTTCTCTGTGACCTCCACCCGGCTTTGTCCTCTCTGCGACGGCTGTCTGTCCTCCGAGGCCCACCCTGTCATAGGCCTCATTACTGCCTGTTCCAGAGCCACCTCGAACTCGAGTGGCTTTGTGGGAAGCCACTCCGTTTCCATCCTTCCCCGTGGACACGACCCCTTACTCCCACCCCAGATGTGGACTCTGGGGCCCCATCTACAAAGGGACACGGGGAGGTCAGGCCCTGCTTCACTTCTCCAGGCCAGGGTGAGGCCTGCACACCCACTTCTCTCACCCAGGTGACAGGAGGCAGGGGGTGGAACAGGACCCCCCTCACACCGCAGAGGAAAAGATGACAGAGAGAAGGAAAGGAGAGCCGGTGTGGTGGCCACAGACGAGTGAAAGGCAGGAACGAGGTTTCAGTCTCATGTACAGTAACCTCCTCTCCGCCTCCCCTGAAAGACAAGTAGAGTCTCAGAGTGTTGGGGCAAGTGCTCGGGGTGGCCTGATGGTTGGTGACAAGACTAGGAAAACAGAGTGTTTATCTGATTTACTCCTTGGTTGTTCCCTTGAAAATTCTCTTACCTCATATTCTATTTCGACAAGGAAAATCAAGAAGTTTTACATTGACTTTCACTCCAGAGAACACGATAATAAGCATTTTAACAGGAAGACATTGTGGCTTTTTGCAAGATTATAAAAACAGATAAATACCAGGTCCTGTTAACTAGGTTGGTGTTTCTCTAAGAAACAATGCTTATCTAATGAAAGTGGAACAAGAACAAGCGTCCAGCTGACCAGGTCTTTCAGCAGCAATTTAGTGTTTTACCTTTAGAAAAATTTAAACGAGAATCAGCCACTACCAAGAGACCTACATTCTAGCTGAAAACACGTTAACACCCACACCGCAGGGACAGCACGTGGTCTGTGCCACCTACAAGCGCAGAGAGAGTGCTGCTGAGCTCCAGGTGTTCACGGTTACTGCCGTGTTACCTGCTGTTGCCGCTGCCGCCGGGCCTGCGCGAACTGGGAGAGCATGAGCTGCCGGTCCAGCAGCTCCACCCTCTGCTGTCTCTGGATGTCCACCGTGGCCCCCATGCCGACCCTGGCTTCGGTGGTGGGCTCTGCCGATGAGAAGATGGGCTCGAGGGTGCAGGAAAAGAACCTGGCCACCCCGCTGGGGACGCAGAGCACCTGCTGGATCTGCAGCACCTTGCTGTTGTAGCAGACACCGGAAATCTGAAAGAAAAAAGTCCCAATGGATTGTTGGCATGGAACAGTATTTTAAAGAACATATTCCTTCTCTTTGTGGTAGCTGGCTTAGGTGGTAACTAACCACTCCGACCAAACTGCAGAACACCCAGCAGCACAAGTCAGCATGACTTTTGACAAACTGTTTTTATTACGGTGGAAGTGTGGCAAATGCTCAAACACTCAGCACTGGTGAAATATTTTAAAACAATGTTTTTACTGAAAAATAAGTCTTGAAAGATCTGATAATCAAAACACTTTCACAGGGTGCTAGATCTGTGGTTACTCCCATTGGCAGATGGCCATCTCTGAGGCAAGTGGCAGAGAACCCTGATGTTTCGTGATCTGACCCAGCCACATCACACACCAGTCAGAAAAGAAAGACCACCTACAAGGTAGACAGTACTTTAATCCATGTTTCAGACTTTGAAATCCTCACTTATATAGTTAGCAATCCTGCTTACAAATGAACCTGTTTTTCTTCTTTTTTTAAACATTTATTTATTTATACATACAAGAGCTGGGGTACAGGCCAGAGATGTGGCGGGGGGTGGGTGGGTGAGAGGATTCACCAGAGACAGAGTGGGGAATAGAACAGGCAGACTGACTGAAATCCACTGCTGAGGAGAGTAGCGGGTGAGACAGGAGAGGTCTGCCTCCCCATGTGGGTAGCTCCCTGGCTGGGTGGGGATCGAACCCGTGCTGCAGAGTCTGCGGATTGCTTCATAGTACGGTGCTTAACTCCTTGTGCCACCAGGGAGGCCCACCTGTTTTTCTTCTTCTTTTTTTTTTTTTTAATAGAGGCATGCTTTATTTATTTGTTTGCTGGTTGGTTTTTGTTTTGTTTTGTTTATACAAGCACTGGGTACAGTCAGAAGCGCGGGAGGGTGAGAGAATTCACCAGAGCCAGAGCGGGGAGCAGAGCAGGCAGAAGGACCGAAGGACACTGCTGAGGGGAGCAGCGGGCGGCAGGAGAGGTCTGCGCGCCATGTGGGACCCTCCTCCGGTGGCCGGGGAGCAGCCGGGGATCGAACCGGCGCCTCAGAGGCTGCGGGCAGCTTTGCAACCCAGTGCTCAACCGCTGCGCCACCGGGGAGGCCCCGCTGTTTTTCTTCTTAAGCTCATTTATATGGTAAGAGAAGTCTAGTGACCATAGTTTTTGGGGTGAAAATGAACGTGGACTATTTGTAAAAGAAAAAAAAAAAAAAAAGAAAAGCTTTAGCTGTGTGCATTTGATTCTTCGGATAAGAAGTTAAGCACACCGACTAGGAGCTTGCCTGACAGGCCTGCTCTTACTGTGTGAACAGACGGTAAACCGGCGCACACACACAAGACCACCCCAGACAAGCTCTGGGAGGGAAATGAAAAGTGACCTGGGCAGAGACCTTCATTAGGTTGGGTGGTCAAGGAAGCTCTCGCAGAACTGATACATGAATGAAGATCTGAAGACTCATGGGGGGAGGGCAATGATTTGGAGAATGGGAGGAAGAACATTTCCAGCAGAGCAAACAGGAAATGCAATCCAGGAATGAATGTGGGAGCATCTACCAGGGACTTTACTGGAGAGGCCAAGTAGGTAGTTGCATGCACGTGCCTGGAACTAACTCCAGAGGAAAGACAGCAGAGACTGGGAGTCCCTGGTGTTAGACGGAATCCAAAGCGACGGGACTAGATGAGATGAGATGAACAACAGGGAGAGGAGAGGAAGGTTGGACCCAGGAGTAGCCCAGTACTTGGGGGACGGACGGAGCAGCAGCCCATGAAGGAGCCTGAGAAGGGGCTGCCAGTGAACCGATGGGAGCTGGGGAAGTTCAAAGCGCCGAAACTACAAGAACAGCCTGAAGGTGGAACCAGTCTGCTCCAACGCAGCTCAGGGCTCAATTAAAAGAAAATGGCCATTGGATTTGGCAAAATGGAGGCCTCTGATGACGTTTTAATAACATTCTGGTGCAGCTGCAGGAGCAAAGTCAGACTGCCAGCAGGCGGGAAAGTGAATGGTGGGAGACTTCCGATTTCGAATCATTTCCAGGGCCCGTCTCTCAAACACGGTACAAGAACAAAAAGAAAACGAAAACAGGACAAACTCCACATTTAGTGAAACTAAAAAGCTATCTGTCATCCTGAACCACAGCAACAAAACGGAAAATGCATTGAGTAATTAGAAGTCCCTTAGCACCTGGGGAGAAGGGGAAATCTGAAAGATGGTAGAAGGTTCCCTGGAGCTCAGACACGCTCAGGGAATAGACACCAGGAGCTGCGGCAGGTGGGCAGCTCCTCCCACGCCCAGCACAGCCCACATCTATGCCCTCTCAGCTGTCTTTGGGCTTAAAGCTTCCCGTGGAGAGCATTTCTGGCCTTTAAACTCAGTCAGTTACTTACCCTGAATGTATTTCCCTTGATGAAGTTGGATTTTGCCATTTGGGTTGTATGTGTCTCATCTGCTTTGTGTTCTTTGTTTCTCTTTTCTGACTTTCTGCTTTAAGCACATATTTTTTGATACTTTAATTTGTTTAGTTGTTTGCTTTTCTAGCACTATCCCATTGTATTTTTTCCTTGTGTTGGCCCTAGGGATTACAACATGCATCTTTAACTCATCACAATGTGCTTAGAGTTCATACGGACTGTCCCAAGTAGAGCACAGGAATCGTGTAGGAGCAGAGTTCCAGCTAGTGTCCTGTACTACACTTTGTCTTAGACATCACACCTAGATTCCTTCTAAACCCACCAGTGTGGTGTTATTTTATGTGGTCAGGTCTTTTAAGGAAATGAGGGAGCATTAACTTTTGCCTGTGCCTAAGGAGCTCACAATTTTGGGGAGCAGGGGAGGAACATGCTGTAGATTCCTTTAAGGAATAAATGAAGGTTAAGGATTTTCAGCCTTCTGTCCATAGCTACCCCTGGCCCCGCTCCATGGATCCACTCACAGAATTGGGGATAACCTACCAAGTAGTAAGTAAATATGCTGGTGCAAGGGGTGGCAGGATTGAAGCAGGGGCTTTGGGCTCAAGTGCTTAAATTTCTGTCCTGTGACTTGCTCCTTATTTGAATGGTTGTCTAGAAGGGGAGGATTGTTGCTGGTTTTGATCACTGCTTCACCTCTGTGCCCAGGAGAGTGCCTGGCACATAAGGATCAGTAAGTATTTGCTGGAAGAACAGTGAATGGATGACACGCCACAACAATAAATACATTATCTTAGAGTCTTTTAAAGGAAACAGGGAAGTTGCCAGTGGACTACGTTTTCTGGTCCAAAGTTTGTCCTTTCCCGAGGTAGCATTCACCTGTGCGTTCTCTGTCCACCAGCATGCACTCGGGTTGTCATACAAATAAAGGCTATTGCAAAATGTTATGGTATTCACAAAGGATTAAAATATATAGAGCTTAGAGTTATGTTTCCTATAAATATTCAACATGTTCGCTGCCATAGTCTGCGCCAAGAAGAGATAAGACTAAGCATATTAAATTGTATCACTTCTCGGCCTTTTGGCTAAGATCAAGTGTAGCATATTAAATTGTACCTGGGCACACCTTGTCACTGCGGAAAGCTTTGCAGGAGTATCCCTTACATTTACCACCTTCAGTGTGTATGTTCCAATTAACTTCAATATCTTATAAGCTATTTACTGGGACTTTTTGAGTGAGAGTTTTCCTGAAACCCCTGGACTCTGTGAAAAAAAGGAGGCATTAAAAATAGACTCTGTGCTCAGACTTGCAATTTAAGAGGCCATGAGAAATCCTGGGAGGGGCAGAGGGGCAGGCCCTGGAGCCTGGAAGCCAGGATCATGCAGCGGGGCCCAAAGACCAGGGACAAGGCAGCAGCTGTGTCCTCAGGCAGGCCAGGTGCCTGGATGTACCTGGCCAAGAGGAAGAATGACGAGGGGCCATGGCTTGTGTCTGGGGAGGCCAGTTGCAGCAGGACCAGAGCATCTGAGCGGCAGGGACCAGGAAGTCAGCCAGGAACAGGGATCCAGAGACCCGGGTGCCACAGAGCATTCTGGGCCCCATGCTGTTCAAAGTCTGGGCCCCAGAGCCCGGCCACAGCTGCTGGCAGACCATAGAGACGTTACCTCAAAAACCCAACTGAGAATGTTAAACAACAGGAAACTGTTTTCTTTTAGGCATGAATAAATGTGGATGTTGATTATCTATTTATTCAATTTTTAGATTATTAGTCCTTTGAGAAAGGACCTCATGAAATTATGCTCCAAAGAAAAACCACAAGGTACAGAACACAAGAAAGGCTCTGGATTACAGAGGGTAGACCTCCACTGCCCGGCGGTCTTGTTCAGAGTCAGCACCAAACCACAGCAGGCAGGGGGAGGCGCCTCGACCTGGTGAAGGTGGCCAGGTGCTCACTTGTGGGGCTTCTCCAGGGCCTGGGGCTGCACAAAACCTGCACTGCAGGACCCTGGGAACAGAGTCCAGCACTCGAGACACCCATCATCTAATGGGACAACAGGAGACACGCAGGGCTGCCTCCCCGAGACAAGACAGGGTGGGCTGAGGGCACCTGCTCCTCTGCACCTGGACCCCAACATATGACTCAGATGCATTCAAATCTTGAGGAAACCAGACCCACTTTGGTCTCATTTCTTTACTCAATGCACCTATTAAACACCTACTACATGCCAGACTGTGTTCTAGACACTAGGTATGGTGTCTAGTGTCTACAGGAGTCAAACAAAGAAAAAGCTTGCTCTAATTCTGGCCTTTGTTTCCTACCTCCACACTGAAATGCTAAATAAAGAAGAAACTGGAGATTACCTATTTTATTACCCCCTCCCCACAACCAAATCTGTGCAGATAAGAGATGCTCAAAGCTATTTCTTCCATTTGTGATAAATTATGAAATGACTCTTCTTCTCAAGACAGACAGCACCTGGGGGCTCTGGCTCCTGGTGAGAGTCTCCTGACCTTGTTCTTTGTCAAGTGCAGATGTGGGCTGTGCAGGTGAACTCCCTATATTCGCTCCTTCAGTATCACTGTGAAG